AAGTTTGTCTTCAGATACCTCTCGAATCATGTCTTTATCGGCTACAGAGACAAAATTTGGCCCGACCCTGGTCACCTTTCCATATATCTTATGAAGCAGAGGGAGAATGTAGTGACCCTGCCAGATGATATAATCAGTTCTTCAAACAAGCGTGTAAAAGCGCCTAGCTTGTTTCCTGGGATAGGGGACAAGGGATGGAGGAACGCATTCGATATCATCTAGACCAGACCAGAGTAAGGAAAGATATTAAATAATAATAATAAGTTAATAAATGAAATAAAACAAAATAAAAATAAGAGTAGACTTGCACCCTTACATTCTTTATGCCCTTCGCGATCCATAATGCGAGGGCAATCCAGAGCAAGTTTGTTGGCTTTAGGAGAGATTCGATAGTTGTGGAGTATGTGGCAAAGAGCTTTAAGAAGGGGTCTGTAGAGGGGAAGGTAGCCATGTTAATAAGTGTGGTCTTGTAACCCTGTGGATGAAGCAAGTAGTTGACACATACTATCAAGACCGATGCATTTATAGTCGATCCCCTACATCATGAAGGGCATGCAAGGATATACATTACATAACATTGCTATCGATCAATAAATTTTGTCATCCTTGTAGACTTTTATTCTTAAATAATTTACTGTTTTTACTGTTTGTTAGTATGCCGGTACAAATTTGCTCATGAGTCGTGTCATTCGGCAAGCTTACTCACCCATTATCAAAGCGAGAAAAAAAAAAAAAAAAAAAAAAAAAAAAAAAGAAGCACTGTTTCGGACTGACTTTCAGATAGCCTGTCATATCTCACTAAGCATTTGGAGATGAAACCTTAAACGGTGTTTGTCTGCCGCATGAACAAGATGAATAGTAGAGGATCTAGACATACATCTGCTAGTTAGCTTTAGATGCCAAAAAGCGGATCAGATCGGTCGAGAGCGCACTACCCGCGTGTAAATGAAGATGCTTTGGATTTATTTTTCAGACAAAGTCATTTCAGTCTATACCAGCCTCTGTGTCTCTGTGTCTGTACGTAAAACAAAATCTAATGGCACGTCGGTTTGTTATTAAGACAAGGTTGGCTATATTGCTCATTGCTGGTTTATCGTCTAAAGTCTTTCCAAGGTTGCTACGATGGTGTTGGCAATTTATACTGGTTAGCAGTGACGTGAGAGCTGGCACTAATATGAGTAATGTATAATATGTATACAGCGAGCGATGTGAGCAATACGTTTGAACCCTTAGAGCGAATTCACATATGTGGTCTTGTCCAAGGCCACAATGGGCTTCTTGAACAGTCCACTAAGAGCCCCCCTATCGTTTCGAGGCCACGCTGCATATCCTCGAATAGCTCCGCCATATTGTCACTGGTTAGTTGGGATTCAAACGTATATGTCCAGCGAAGTGTCACGCGGGTCATTACGTGCTTTGCTCTTTTTAGAAACTCCACCTCAGTTCATATGAGGCCGTTCATTTTTAACATCTCTTCCACTTCTTTTTGTCCGTCTTAATGCACAGGGCACAGTCCAACATGGCAGAGCATTTATGGTGTGCCAGCGGCTATAGTACTAGAAAAGAAAGTGATACAGAGTCTTCTTTAGTACAAATCACATGCTTCTTGATGAAGTATCTATGAATACAGTAGGCCGTAAGAGAATTCAATAGCGGCCTCCCTAACCTCGCCATGGGCTCTTGGTAATCAGGCAAAACCGTTGTGCAGAGAAGAATTCATGAGAAGCAAGGATCCACGTGGGTGGGGGCATCAGTGGCTAAAACAATGGAGGATGGTTCTTGATGTTGTTGCCTGCAAAGCTCCAAAAACACGGACGATTTCACTTCTGGAGCTGATAGTGATGGGTGGATTGATGGTGGACTCTACAAGGATTGGCTTTGTTATTGATATTAATACTAATATTGAAACTGATGTTAGTAGTTGTCTATCGGTCAAGCTTGCTATACTCATCCGGACGGCCTCTCGGGACCCAAACAGACATTAGTTCTATAATATGTAAGGCATCTTTTACAAATCCACCGCCGAATGCCCAAAGATGTAGCCTCAAAAACCCTGACACTGTTCTGTTAGCGAATTTGATCCAGCTTCGGATGTAGCTCTCCCCAGAATATGTTGCATCTATAATATATTGATTCCGGATACCAAAGTTATCAACAATGCAGCGTTCCAGTACCTGATGCCGTTCTGACCATGCTTCTGCTCGTTCAGGGCCGAAGAGCGAGCCCAAATAGATTATTCCTTTAGGCATGACTGTAGGTAAGATGGCTCCGCTTTTATAATCACGAGGGGTCATGTTTAGTCGATCAAACACATGGATCGAGCCGATCAACTCCTAGGATGTTACTAATGTCGCATTTTCCATCAGGTCCTTCAGGACTTTGGGCAGAGTATTGACAAAAGTTCAAGAGACGGTCGTCCAAGTGTGGTAACCCGACAATTCATATTGGTGCGGTCGAGTTGCAAAACGTCTCTCTCATTTTCTGGCTCTGCGGAGTTAGTCCTTGTCCTGGTACCTTTATAATCAATATCTTTGTGAAACTCTGACCCTTCCCGATTTACTGTTTCCCATTCCTTAACCGACTCTTCAGGAAGACTCCATAGAATGATGAAAGTCTTTCGAGTCACATGAGCAGTGCTAAGAGTAAAGTCCGATCCAGATATTCAGTCAGTCGATGTGTTGTCTCCAAGGCCAGTATGAGGGAAATAATCAAGAAAGCGCTCTTGATCTGCAGGAATGCGGGTTTGGAAAAGGGTTTTGTTGCCTGTTGCCTACGACTGCTGTTGTTAATGGAGAAGAGAGATCTCCTGTCCGTGCCATTGCCATAACCTTCTTTAAGGAGTGGAAGAGTAAGAAAAGGGATCCATTCTATTCGGACGAGTGATATTGTTGGATTTATCATAGTACACATAGGCCATAAACTATAAAGCGAGTAGCAGCTCAAGGAACTCTGGTTCTTTGTTGCTTCTTTTGCACAAAAACCATTGAAGAACTGACTGTTTTTTCTCGTTCAGTTTTGTATTATGTTATTCTTTATATGTGTTCAAGTATTTTCCTGTCTGTAGCTGGAAATGACGGGTCTCACAACCTAAAAGACCAAACCACCTATGCAATCAGCCCCTGAACAGCCCCTTTGATCCGGGTGCAGAACAGAATAAACGGATTGCAATGCATGAATGTCGGATAAAAGCAGCATTCATCCCATCTATCTAGTCAATTCGAATAACATCTCCTTTTAAATCGGAGTTTTGCTTTATTCATTTCCGTCACTTTGATATTTTCTTTCAAACTGACTACTAACAAGGCGCGCTGGCCATTCACATTTGCTTCTGAAACGAAGGAGAAAAGTCAAAGAAATGAATAAAACTACTACTAACAAAATAACATGTTAGCTTCAAGAAAGACTATCGTTATCGAGCAGCAGCAGCTGGCACTATCATGGATCCTATCATTGTCCTTGCTTTATTACTGGGATCGCAAGCGGAAGGGCAGGTGCAGGATTTATGGTCGCATATGGGGGTACAGTTGCCGCTGGCTCTACTTGTGTGGTGTTCTAATCCATTGGCGCACCTGGACTAGGAGCAATTGAGGCGGCTGTCTCTGCGGTGGCAGGAGCCACTCTGATCATAGGAACCATAGCAATGGTTAGAACTTTAGCGGATAGTCAAGGTGGTGTAAAAGCTGCAGTATCGCTTGGTGCAATCAAAGTTGCAGTTGGAGCTTCTTCAATGGTTTCTGGAGTCAGTGCAGCAGGAGCAGCAGGATTGGATAAGGCCAAAGCCTTATGCAGAGCGACTTCCACGGCTTCTGGAGTTGATGCAGCAGGAGGAGTGGCCTCAGTAGCTTCTGAAGCCAATGCTGTAAGTATTACAGGATTCAATAAGGCCAAAGCCTTACTCAGAGCAAACAAGAAGGGAGTGATGTGCTGGTTTTTTTCAAAAAAAAAAAAAAAAAAAAATTGCGATTAAGGTGGGCAATAGTCTATGATGAAGTCAGCTCTTCAAAAAACAAAATAAAATGACCCCATTAAAATATACAATCGGGCAGGTTCACTGGCAGATATACTTACGAAAAGGCCTCTGATCGTGCCATGAAAAAATAAAACAGTAATGTTTAAAGTAAACAGATAAAGATCAACATTGGCGAAGATATACCCTTTGTTTACCAGGGACGGGTCAGACACTACGTTTCACGTTCCCTAGTAACGAGTGACAGAGCTAACCTTATTTTAAGAACAAACCCTAGCTTTAGTTGGGTCAGAATGTTTCTCGGCAGTAATTTCACGAACAGACACAGAGAGACAGAGGCTGGCATAGACTGAAATGGTTTTCTAAAAACTAAAGCATCTTCAGTTACATGCGAGTAGCACCCTCTTAAACAGGTCTAACCAGTTTTTCCGGCATCTAAAGTTAACTAACCAGAATACAGAAAATGCAGCTACATGCCTGGATCTTCTGCTGCTCACGCTGTTCATGCGGCAGACAAAGTAAAGCAGACACCGCTCAAAGTTTCATCTCCAAATATTTAGTGGAAAATGCCGGTCTATCTCTTAGGGTCGAGGACCACATTCCGAAATATGGTCATCTCTGAACGGAGTCAGTAATTTTTTTTTTATTTTTTTTTTTTTTGTTTAGACATGAGTAAGATGATGTACTAAGAGGTGACCTGGCGAATGACACAGCTCATGAACATATTTGTACTCACATACTAACAAACAGTAAAGCAGTATATTATTTAAGAGTGTCTACAAGGATCATATAATTTACTGATCGATAACAAGTTATGGAGCATGCACCCTTGCATGCCTTCCATGATCTAGAGCACTAACCTGCGTTAACTATAAGTGCGTCGCTGCTGAAGAAGTTGGAATATATATAACATCTTTCTTATTTGTGATTTAGATCAACTGCGTACTTATTTCATTCATAAATTTACAAGGCCACATTTATTAATATGGTTATCGTCTCTTGTGCCACTGCACTGGCAAGTGCCTTCGTAAGGCTCTTTGCCACATACCCTACGACTATCAAATCTCTCCTAAATCCTACAAGCTTGCTCTGGATTATCTTCACATTATGGGTCGCGAAGGGCATAAAGAATGTACTAGTACAAAGCCTACTGTTGTTTTTTTTTTATTACATATATTTTTCTGAAGGGAAAATAATTGATTCATATCTATCCTTATCTAGATGATTTCAAATGCGTTCTTCCATCCCTTGTCCCCTATCCCAGGAAACAAGCTGATCGCTTCTACACGCTTCTTTGAGGCGCTACTCTCCTATCTGGCAGGGTCATTACTGCTTACCTCTAACCCATAAGCTATATGGAAAGGTGGTCAGGGTCGCGCCAAATATTGTCTCTGTGGCCGATAAAGACATGATTCGAGAGGTAAATGAGAATGAATTGCTATGCATGATTAATCCTCGGTGTAGCTCGTCCGAAGTCAAAATTTTTTATCCCGAATGAATACAGTGAAAGTAACCTGATTTGGTTGTTGAATATTTTCCTTCTTCTTCTGATAGATCTTAGTGACAACTGACTACCCCAAGAGCGCCATTTACCAAGTCTTTGATTTTGACGGCATGAAAACCTATTCTCAGCCCGCAACAAGAGCTTCTATAAGAGCCGAGTACGCTTACCATCTACCCTTTTTGCTTTCATGAACTATCTTGTCATATTATAGTTGAGTTGTAACAACCCTTATCAATACTTGAAAGTATAATTCTCTTTGTTCACAGCGCCGACTTGTCGCTCCAGCTTCGGCCTGCAATACCTTCAGTCTGTTGAGACTCTTATGCATAAATGCATTGATGGCCTTCTACAAGAGATCGATGGTATCTCGATGGTTCGAGGACGGCGAAGAACAAAACCTCTAAAGCGCTTCCACCTGGCCAGATCAATATTATTCTTTTATGTTCCGACTCTCACTTGACATCATCGGGAGACCGATTTGGCCAATCCTTTGAGACGATCAAGGATGATGCTCACCCGGTCCCTCACCAGCTAGAAAAGACAATCAAGCAAATGATGCAACAAACGTTCATTCCATGGATGAAATATATAGACCCATTCGATTTTTTCTTTAGAGATTTTGGTGCTGCTTGTGTCAAGCAGCGTAAGGCTAGTGGAGAGGCGGGGCGTCGTGTAGACCTGCTACAGTATCTGATTGACGCACAAGCCAAAGGAGAGAGGACAGTAATGGCGGTAGCAAGCATGAGGACATGGCTTGTGAGGAATTTACAGATAAGGTTATCGGAATTGAGGCATGCTTTTCCTGTAAGTTGAAGTGTAAGACCACAAAATACTACTTTGCCCCAAGGCATGACCGGTGCCCAGTAGGTGAAACAGAAATGAAATTGAACTATTCATTTTATTTTGACTATTTCAGGATCGCTGGAGCAGATACCGCACAATGTAATGACATTTACGCTCATGTTCTTGGATCAAACATCCGGATAAGCTGATCAAGCTGAGATCAGAGCTTGACCTCGCAACCGCTACTAATCCCTGTGGATCTCTACCTACTTATGAGCAAATCCGCAAGCTTCCATATCTGACAGGATGCATCAACGAGTCCATGCGACTCCGTCCTACTGCCGCTCTAGGTACGGACTAATGAATAGTAACGTATAAATATAAATATAGTTTTAAAATGGTTAGATACTGACAAGCGATCTTAATATTGATCTAGGTATACCACGAGACGTTGATGAAGATGTAGTCATAAATAACTATTATTTTCCAAAGGGAACAAGTATGTAGAGCAGTTGACACGTTTATGCTCCGTATTTATCGCATACAACTAACTTTTTTTTTATTTTTTTTATTTTTTTTATTTTTTTAAGCCCTACTTGCGACCCATTGCAACTTCATTTGTCAGAGGAATACTTTCCACAGGCGGCGAGTACATTCCAGAGCGCTGGATTCCTGATGAGTCACCTTTTCCGCCTGTTCAGGACTTTACATATTACCCTTTCTCTGCAGGTAGTCTGTCTGTATGGCAAAAACTTGCAATGATGGAACTGCGCTGATCCTAGCACGTTGTTCTTAGCTACGATATGGAGCTAGTTCCTAATCAGCGGCGAGGACTGTGTGCAGTACTTGACCGCATCTCTGGCCACAGGAAGTTATATTATCAAGATGAAGAGAACGGCA